ATTACCATAGTCAATGAATGAATGAGTGCAAACGATTTTACATTCATCGATTCATTCATTCATTCGTTCTTTCGTTCGTTCGTTCGCCCGTCCGTCCGTCCGTCCGTCCGTTCATTCATTCATTTATTCAATTGGAACAATTAGTTTATTAGTTAAATAATTAAATGATTGATTGAAAAAACAAAAAAATACAACAAGATAAAGGAATAGCAAACATCGTTGTCACCAACAAAATCATCATTTTCTATTCACTATCATCATCATCCTCGCCGTCAACAACATCATCATCATCACAAAAACAACAACAACATCATCATCAAAGCAACAACCACAGCAGAAACAACAATTAAACAACAACAGAAACACTAACAACATCAGCAAAACAACAACAACAACAATATCAGCAAAACAACAACAACAACAAACGACAACAACAACAAACAACATCATCATCATCATCGAAACAGCAAACAACAACAACACCAAATAACACCATCATATCGAAACAACAATCAACAACAACAAACAACAGCAAAATGTTTCGTTTCAATTTTCAGAGGATGGACGAAGCTAAGCAGACGATCATTCATAATTACGTCACGTGAGGACGACGATGACGACGATAATGATGGTGATGATGATGATTATAGTGATGGTGATGATGACGACGATAATGAATAAAAAAAAATCAATCACAATAGTAATAATAATAATATTATTGTTATTAAGGTCTCTTTAAAACATTCAATCTTTTGCTAATAAATATTATTTGGACTAATTATTTTTGCAATAACCTTATAAACTCTGCCATATCATCGTCGTACGCCATCTATTGCGACAGAAATGTGAAATGAATCAATTTTAAAACTAACAAACTCCGGTAGTACTCTCTCGATTCGAATGGCGAACTTCTCAGATTAATACTCTATTTATTGCATTTGACATTTTATTTTATTTCATTATTTATTTTATCTGTACTGTTATTTTCATTGTTTTTATTGCTAAATAAAAGATTGTTCCCATTATTATAATAATAATAATAATTATTATAATTATTATTATTAATATTATTATTATTATTGTTATTATGGTTTTATAATGACGGGTTAATTTGTACAACAAGGCATGCACTATGCGGAAATATTAGTGATGATAATGATGATGAGAAGGAGGAGCACGTGGTGATGATAATGATGATGAGAAGGAAGAGGAGCACGTGGTGATGATAATGATGATGAGAAGGAGAAGGAGCACGTGGTGATGATAATGATGATGAGAAGGAGGAGGAGCACGTGGTGATGATAATGATGACGAGAAGGAGGAGGAGCACGTGGTGATGATAATGATAGTGATGATGGCGATGGCGATTAAAACAGAAGCACTGGCTGAATATGACGTAAAGAGAGAGAGAGAGAGAGAGAGAGAGAGAGAGAGAGAGAGAAAGAGAGGGGTGAAGTTAATAGTAAACATTCAATGCCACTAATGAACTAGGGTCTTGGGGTGTTGATGAAATGATGTCTAATAAAGATGTTTGTGATGGCAGTCAGTCTCTCTCCTCTATCTCTCTTTCTCTCTTTTTCTCGTTATCTTCCCTTTTTATTTGTCTATCTTTGCGTTGTTTTTTTTCCATACATTCCAAACTTGTTCTAGTCATTTAACGTGGTTCATCCAATTTAATTTTTAAAATTCAAATTACTTTCAAAGCTTCATTCTTCATGACTGTTGTGTAAATTTTTTTTAGTTTCAATAAAAATACGGCAAAAAAATGATAGGAATGCGTGTGTGTACATCCGTCGGAGAGATACAACATTGGATGTTACCTGGATAAAAATTAATACAGGTGTAAGCCAGTGGAGCTAAGAATAAATTTACGACTCGGATCAAAATGCTGGCAAACATACACTGAACATGCTTAATGACGTTGTTGTTTGTGTGTGTCTGTGTATGTGTTTGTGTGTGTCTGTGTCAGTGCTTGTGTGTATGTGTTTGTACTATTATTTATCTCTGTGTATGCACGTGTGTTTGAATATTTGCATCCTATGGTGATTGTATATATTTGATAATTTAAAAAGAAGAAAGTGTGTGCCTTACAATGTTTCTCTTGTTTGATCCATATGAAATTGTTAACTTTCAATAATAACATGTATTATAGATATTTCTATTAGCATCGTCAGTTTGTCATGCAAATTCCTTTATATCAATGTACTGCCACGTTTGAACATTCATATTTTCACCAATTTTCATGACAATTCAATGACAAATTGTTTGTTAACATACATGCAACGTGTCTAATATTATATACAACGTATTTAAACAAGGTTTCGTTATATTAAATATTTGCTCTATATATAGCTATCTCTAGATGTGTTTATTTTTGTGTTTCTATGTTTGTGTGCATGCACTTGCTTTGAAAGTTTTGTTTTGAGTGTTTATGTGCAGTTAGAAAACGCCTGTGCAATTGCATGTACGGTCTTCAACGTCAATTTTTTGTTCCATAAAGTATCCCTCTTGAGTTCCTAGGGAGCCTAAAAATATACGTACGCATAAAACTAAACGAGCAATTAAATTAAAAAGTGAATGAATGAATTATCTAATGAAGAAACGAATGAATGAAAAACTGAATGAATGATAGTGTAATTAATAAATAAATAAATTATTTAATGAATTAATTATAAAAATTCCATGCACAGGTGTCAGTAATGCGTGCGTGTGTGTTTTACATGGCGGAGACGATGAAGACGTGTTCTCCTTCAGATAATCACATACACGCACACGCATTTATACAAGCACACACACATTTTCAAACATCTACACATGAGTTTGCTTTTTGTCTACTTGCATGAAAGAACTAATGTATTAAACGCACATACATTTAAATGTTGGCTAAGTGGATATATTGACTTGTGTCACAGAGAGAGAGAGAAAGAGAGAGAGAGAGAGAGAGAGAGAGAGAGGGGAGAGAGAAAGAAAAAAAGAAAGAGAGAGAGAGAGAGAGAAAGAAAGATAGATAAATGATGTTTATTGCGAAGAAGAAACCTTCTCTCCACCATCATTTCCAACTCCAGGATACTCACAAGCATATCTCTCTCTAAAAATAAGCGTGAATGCAGCAACGTCATCACCACCTCCCGAGATTCATCATCAGTCAGCCCTCGTAAATTTTAAAATACTTCTGTGAATTTTTGATGCCTTATTGAGTTTTATGTACAGTGCTGCTTCTTTCAAGGATCTGAGCATCTCGGCGACTTGCATCTTCACGTACGCTCTGTAAGAGAGTGAGGCACAAAATAACACAAATCTTCATACAAAATTTGCATTCCTGTATAAATTTTACATGCACTAACAATATTTTGCATTTATACGCAAGCATAATATCACTCATGAGACGAGATGAGTTAGTATGTTTGATGTGTCAATGATTACAAGTATGTATGAATAAATGTGAATGAGTGTGAAAGAATGTGAAAGAGTATGAATGAGTGTGAATGATGAATACATTAGATGATTATACTGAAGCGTTCAGTAAAATATTTTTCAGTTTTTTTCTAAATGTTGCCTGCACTTTTGTATATAAAACAGAATTTAAATCAAAATTAATTATCAAATTATTCCATATCCGTGGTCCGTTGCATAAAATATGAAAAAATAAAATGTTTGTTTTCGATTTATTGCAACGAATTATGTTTCTGTGCCTATTTGTCAAAACAAAGTTATAATAATCACAAAAAACTTTGGGTAGCAGTCCTGCGTAATGTTTGAAAACAAAAGTAGCACAGTGATACATGTGAAGATTTCTGAAGTTTAAGTTGCGTGTTGAGAGAAATAAAATGTTTGTTGACGCATTGTATTTTGAGCAGGTGATGATTCTCATTCCTTTTTTCATGAGCATTTGCAACGGTTGTGTTAACGAGGGATAAGTTGATGCCCAGATGATGTTACAGTAGACGAGGTGAGGAAGGCATATTGAATTGTACAATAAATTTAGAGAGCGTCTTGGTAGAAAGAATTTGATTCTGTTGATGGCGCCCAGGGATCTTGATAGTTTATCTGATACGGAATTTATGTGTTTTTTAAAGGTCAATTTGTTATCCAGAATAATTCCCAAAAAATTTGATGATTTTGTTTCTGTTATCGTTTCACCTTCAATAACGATTTTATATGGCTCTTTATAATTAAGTAATGCACTGAGCCAAAAACCATGAATTTTGTTTTTTCTCTGTTGAGAGTCAGTCTGTTGTTTTTGAACCATCGAATAACTGATTGAACATCATTATTGATCTCATTTATCAACACATTTATTTTTTTATTACTCTTGAATAGGTTCGTGTCATCAGCATACATGACATAATTAAAGCTGTTTGAGGAGTTTGGTAGGTCATTGATATAAATGGTGAACAACAAGGGGCCAAGGATGCTGCCTTGAGGAACTCCTGAATTGATCTTTTGCAGTCTTGAATCATTTTCATTCCATCTTACGTACTGCCATCTATCACGCAAATAACTTTCTAGCAACTTTGAGGCAATCCCTCGTATTCCATAATGTGCCAACTTACTGAGAAGAATTTCATGATCAACACAGTCAAAAGCCTTGCTCAAATCCAAAAAAATACCAGCAGTGAACTTTTTTTCTTCTGATGCCTTACCAATGCTGCGAACTAGTTCAAGTAATGCCATTTCAGTTGAAAATTTTTTTCTAAATCCATATTGATTTTCGGAGATAATGTTATACTTATCCAAAAAAGATGATAATTTATTGTGAATAATTTTTTCATATATCTTTGAGAAACCGGGTAGTAGTGAGATAGGCCTAAAATTTGAGATTTCATCATTGTTTTTTGATTTTTGAATCGGTATCACTTTGGCTATTTTAAATATTTTTGGAAATATGCTTTTTTCTAATGAAGCATTTATGAAGTGTGTTAGAATTTGTATCGTTGAATGTATTGTGGCTAAAATTATTTGGGACGGAATATTATCGTATCCACAAGACAGTTTTGGTTTCAGAGATCTTGTTGCTTGAAAGACGTTGTCACTGAACTTATGAACATTGAATTTTGAATACTGTTTTTCATTGGTTTTTTATATTCAAAAGTTTTAACAAAATTTACGTTAAGTTTCTCGGCGATAGAAACAAAGTGATCATTTAGAGCATTTTCTGGATCATTTACAATCTGGCCATTTCTTTTCAGATGTATATTATTACTTTTTGAGTCGTTATTTGATCTCCTCAGAACATCATTCATAATTTTCCATGATTTTTTCATATCATGTTTGTTATTTTCTAGAATATTATGGAAATACTGTTTCTTTGCGTTGTTTTTTATTTTTTTATAAATTTTATTTGCAGATTTATAATTATTATTGTTTTCATCATTTGGGATTTTAAGGAATTTTTTAAACAATCGATTTTTAGCTTTCAGTATCTTTTTATTTTCACTATTGAACCATGGCTTTTGTTTGCTGATCTTATTAATTTTATTATTACTTACTTGGCAGCATTTTATCATACAACATTTGAAAAGCTCGACAAATTTTACCCAAGCCATTTCGACATCCCAACAATCATATACGTCGGTCCAATCAATTTCACAAAGTCGTTTATTTAAGTTGCTGATTCGATTTGATGAGGACAAGAATTTTGTTGAAGGAACTACGATGAGTTTTTCTTTTTTTACTTGTTTGCTGAAAGAAATTTGTGTGAGGACTGGCAAATGATCAGACAAATCACAGGCCAACACTCCTTGCAAGCACACATTCAACGAGCCATCTACAAATATGTTGTCAATAACTGATTGTTTGTTTGCTGTTATTCTGGTGGGGAGATTTATTAATTTACAAAGACCGTGCAGATCCATGATTTGTTGCAGTTGGTTATTATTGCTGTTTATATCGTCAGTTAAGTTTATGTTGAAGTCTCCTGTGACCACGATGTGTTTATTTTTTTCATTTAAACGTGTCAGGACATCATCGATTGATTCGCAAAAAGTTCCAACAGAACACGAAGGTGGTCGGTAAGCAACAACAACAACAATGTTTTTAAACTGCGCTTCATTGGCAATCTCTATGGCAAATATCTCAAGTGTTGTTGTCAAGGAGTCATTTAAATCGTGCCGTGCTTTAACGTTGTGTGTGTTTCTAACAAAGACTCCTACACCACCACCGTTTTTATTTATACGATTTTTACCGAGGTAGCAGTAACCATTCATTAAAACCATGTCCATATCACGATCTGATAGCCAGCTTTCACTGATTGCTATTACGTCAAATTTCAATTTAAACTTGTCAAGAAATTCGTTCAATTCATCAATTTTGTTTTTTAAACTTCTAATATTAAAATGGATCAAACTGAAGAGAACGTCATTTTTTGAAATGTGTTTAGTGTTGAAATTATTTATTTCCTTTACATCTTCAAACATTTGACAATTACTTGTGAGAGTTTTGTTCCTTGTAACGTTATCTTCGTCATCCATGATTGGGATCGATGTTGAGGTTAAAATTGTCGTCGGTGTTTTTGTTCATTGTAGCACCATCTGGTTGTTTGTTGCTCGATTGGTTGTTTATATTGTTAATAGTTTTGTCGTTTTTATTGAAAATTCATTCACGGATTAGTACGGAGCTGGGCCAGTTTGAAGGCGACATCACCTTGTTGAATTCCGCCGCTGGTACGCACAATCTGAATGATGTAAAGCTTGGAGGATCGTCTGTGTCATTTTTCTTCGAGACAGGGAGACATGTGATGACCTTGATGCCTTTGCTCTCGCAGTGTTTCACAATCATGGTGCTGTTTGGAAGGTCAACGTTGCCCACGTAAAAAATTTTTTTCTTTATTATTTGTTTGGAAGCAGTAAAAAAAGAATCATCTGCTTGTGAGCCGACAATCTTTGAGGGTTTGTTTGAAGTATTTTTATTGTTTGCCGTTTTGTTTATCGGTGGAAGCAATCTCGATTTATTTTTTGCTTGCTTCTTTGGACTAATGTAAAATTGTCATCAACTTGACTGTCATCTGATTGTGTTTCATTTTTCATCTTGTTAACCCAAGAAATTTTAGGATTTATAATCGGAGTATTTGTTATTTCTTTGCTGTCGTTCAGGTGGATATTGTTGTTGTTGTACGTTTTATCTGAACTTGTTGAAATGTTGTTTGTACATGTCAATGCAGCTGTCAACTTGTTTAGAACATTTTTATTTGTGTCCAACAATTGGTTTATTTTATTTTCAATTTTTTCGTTTTTTATGAATAAGTCCGTTAAATTAGTTAACGGATTATTTGGAATTCTTTTAATATTAAGAATTACAAAAGTTGGCAGAAGCTGAGCCATTTCATTTTCCAAAATAAATTTTAATAAATCAATAACATCTAAAGTTTTATCAATTTTAGTGTTACCTCTGGATTTATTGAACAATTTCTCTTTTTTCTCTTTTTTAAGATTTTCAATTTCATTAATCAGAATTTTTTTTGCAGCTGATAATTCTTCATGTGAAAAAAAATCAGAAACTAAATTTTGAAAATTTACTTTGTCAAAATTTTCACTATTTTCAAGAAAATACCAGAGAACTTCTGAAACGAGCAGTCTTTTAGTCGCCATTATATCAAAAAATCTATGTATGTATGTATGTATGTATGTATGTATGTATGTATGTATGTATGTATGTATGTATGTATGTATGTATGTATGTATGTATGTATGTATGTATGTATGTATGTATGTATGTATGTATGTATGTATGTATGTATGTATGTATGTATGTATGTATGTATGTATGTATGTATGTATGTATGTATGTATGTATGTATGTATGTATGTATGTATGTATGTATGTATGTATGTATGTATGTATGTATGTATGTATGTATGTATGTATGTATGTATGTATGTATGTATGTATGTATGTATGTATGTATGTATGTATGTATGTATGTATGTATGTGTGTATGTATGTATGTATGCAAGGTACATATTTATGTTTATTCAGTTACGGGACGTGAGACTCGTTCAAACTAATACATGTTGACGGAACATAAAATTGAGAGTTCCAACGTCTGCATGAATTTGTGTGTTTACCTTCCTTTAATAGGTTTGCTTGCTTGTGTGTGTGTGTGTGTGTGCGTGTGTGCGCGCATGTATATATATATATATATATATATATATATATAAGTTTATTGATTTTTATAGTTTGAATATGTGTGTTATAGTAATTTTTTTTGTTCAAGTGCGAATATTCATTATAAACGTATCTAGGAAGATGTGGTGTTACATTTTTGTCCGCAATAATTAGACAGGGGATTAAACTTGTTATTTACTAAAACATTTTCAAAATTTTTACGAAGAGCTTGTTTAAAAACCGAATTATTAAAAAAAAGGAAAATGTTTGTAGATGTGATTAAAGGATTTTGTCTTCCAACCAAAAAATACTGAAAATAAATTTTTTTACGTAAGTTTACCTGTCAAAATCTTGTGTTTTATCACAAAAGTTTCACCGGCAGTTTTGTGCATATTTTTTCATAGTTTGTACAATTTTAGCTAATGATTCAGTTGCGTGCCTGTTGCTTACAGGATTTATGCTGTTTCGAGACGTGCGTTACTGCTGTTATAATAGAATGGAAGTGACAGAAAGCACACATGCTTCTCTTGTTTATTGGCTTGTAAACATTTTTGTTCGGCTGTCATGTCGTCAACTCATCGACAGAATGTTCTGAACTTTCCAGATCCAACTGGCTTCGATGTTACTCAGCATTTTATTTTGACATGCTGTAGTACCGTGTAGTGAACATTTTTTAATAAATGTTTTTAATATCGTGTCTATTTTGCTGCATTGGTGTACGATAAATTTTTCTTGTGAGAACTTTTCTTGAATGAATTTTTGCAGGTAGAGTTGGTAGGAGCAGTGCAGGTCGAAAGTGGATGTAATCTTTTGTTTTTTTTTAAATTTTTTACTTTTACAACAATCATAATATTATAGTTATAATGTATTTTGAGATAAAATGGTTATTGCGGTAAGAGAAAATATTGCTGTCATCTTATGAGATGACAAATGCGATAAAAATATTTTTAAAAATTGTCTAAGCATCGAGGGTCAAATCTGTCAATATATGTTTTTATTTAAAAATAAACAAACTTAATTTTTATTTAAAAAATGCTACTCGTAAAACTAGTAGTAAAACTACTAGTAAAACAACGAAACCTAACAATAAGTTAATTCATAAAGGACTAATCACTGCAAGCACTTGCAGTTGTTTTAGACAGGACATCCCCGTATCGAATGCTGCGAGATGTGAAAAAGAAATAATTACAGCACGTCTATAAAACATCATCTGGGCTCCTAATGCTTTGCAAAATGTTTCCATTGGGAGTTAAATGTAAAAGCAAAATCTTATAAAAAAATACTCATAGATAAATAATTTCAGATGTTGATAAAAGATCCTAGCAACAAAACATTGCATTCATTGCCAAGTAGTAGTAGTAGTAGTAGTAGCGGTAGTAGTACTAGCAGTAGTAGTAGTAGTAGTAGTAGTAGTAGTAGTAGTAGTAGTAGTAGTAGTAGTAGTAGTAGTAGTAGTAGCAGCAGCAGTAGTAGTGGCAGAGTTGTGGACATGGATGTTGTAATATCTAGGAATGCATGAACATCAGGTATTATTATCAGCAAAATCGTGCTTTCCCTAATTGCTAGGTTGTCATCATTAGTTGGCTCGTCATCACGTTGTCATCGTCTTCATCAATCTAATCATTTTCATCGCCATCATCATCGTTACAATCTTCATTATTGTCATCACTTCAATCAAACCTTCATCACTCTCTACGTCTTCGTCATTGCCATTGTTATTAATGTTACCATTTAATCATTTTTATACTCGCCATAATTAACATTTAAATCAGCATCATCATATCATCATTTTACGTAACTATTGAATGATACTATCACTTTATCATACCCGTAACCATCATCATGTTAACCATCGTCGTCATCATCATCACCATCATCTCCATGGTCACCATCATCGTCATCAAATTTACCTGAATGTGAGGAAATACAATCTTGCTTATGCAAACAAACAGTTCTTTCAATTAACTAGATGATAAGTAACTGCCTCATCATCATCATAATATCATCATCATCATCAATATCATCTGTGTGGTTACCATCATCACCATTATCAGTCATCATTATCATCATCACCACCGTCATCATCCTTATCATCATCGTCATCCCCATTATTATTTTAGTTATTAACATAATTTATTCTTCCACCAAGAAACAGCACACACACACACACACACACACATCCACACACGCACAAGCTCATGCTACTAATTCTTGTTTATCTTAACACGCAACTTAAATACGCACGCCAAAATATGCGTACAAACATAACTTTAAAATTACACAATATATACGCAGACATAAATACACACACACATTCACACAAACTTTTTCAAAGATACAAAACGCATACAATGAGGCAAATAATTATACATATATGTATGCCAAACATGCACACTTGCGCAAGCTTATATACAAACACACACACACACACACACACACCACACACCACACATAACAAGAAAATGTAAACGAATTAAGTTTTCATTTAAACAAACCATGGATGTCTCTCTGTGGCCGAACCTTTCAAAATCAATTTACGAGCGAAGCATCAGATCATGAAAAATATAGTGTTGATGTGGCAATGAAGTAATTTTTAACATGTAACAAATACTTAAATATTACCCTAAACAAGCTAGTTTAGATGGTCATTACTTTTAAATAAATTGAATTTGTTTTGAATTCAAAATTGAAATTGAATTTGAAATTGAAAAAAGAAATTGAATCAAACCTAAGCACTCTAGCTAACCTAATGCTAAACTAATATTATCGCATAATATACCTGTTAACAAATTACAAAACCCGAAAAATAAATTATTGTTTAAATCATAAAAATGTTTACAAGAAAATAATTCATTGATGATGTTCATTCAATCAGTACAAAAATAAAGTAATCACGATTGGAATTAAAAAAAATTTCGTCGTAGATTTATAGAACGCAGTAATATATTTTGATGTTTCTTATTTTGAGGCTTCTTGCAACAGAAAAGATTTTCCAGCAGATCCAGCAAAATTCAATCTAATAAAACTTTGACACTAGACCTACCACTATTGCCACTACCACAGCCCTGCTTCATCTCGCCAGTGTCATAATACCCAGGAGGACTCAAACTCCCTCCTTGCCGGTAGTCAGTGACCTTGCTGACAATCTCGGAGAAGGCAGGTCTGTCCGTGGGATTCGTACTCCAGCATTTTTTCATGACGTCTTCATATCTGGATGAATTTGTGTAAAAAAACTTTTTTTTAAACTCAGAGTGGTAATTATTATTAATGGGTGTTACTGTATTTTATTCTAATCGGAGTACGAAGTTTGATTAGCAATAAATTGGAAGTTAACATGATGAGTGGGCAGTCGTCGGGTTTGTCCATTTTGAGGCCCGCGATGATGGCGTCCATGGCATCATGGCTTGAAGTGTTTGGATAGGGACTGCTTCCTTTGTGATTATTTTTCAATTAGTCGATCTAACAACTTCATACAATTGATTATTTTGAAATAACATAAAAGGTATTTGACAGCACAACATTTTTTGGAAAATTCTTTTAAAAAGGACAAGAAATCAAGAGTAATAGACACCAGAACATAAGAAAATAGAGAAAGAGAGAGAGAGAGAGAGAGAGAGAGAGAGAGAGAGAAAAGCGGCAATGAATTTTGATATTTATATTATTACATGATGTTACTAAATTCAAAAATTTATTAAAAAAAGCTTCATGATTTAGTAGCAGCCAAACATGCAAGTGCGTAAGACATGAAAAAATGTGAATGAAACAAAGAGGTGTCAACCTACAAATTTTTTCGTTAAATTCAATTTAATTAATATAACAAATTTTTTATCACGATGTTCTTTACCTCTAGTATAAATTTCCCAGAGCGTGATAGCGTACGACCAGGCGTCTGACTTGTTACTGTAGGTTGGTGAGGAGCAGTTGATAGTCTGCAGTGTTTCAGGAGCCAGCCACTTCACAGGAACTGAAGCCTGGTTGAGAATGAAACAATAATTAACACTGCAACATATAAACATAGAAACGCCTACTGTCTGCCTGTTGTTTTATTTAATGAAAATGATTCGCCAAGCTCATATATCTTGATTCGACCTACACGGCCAGGTTTTATATGTAACATTCGATGTTGCCCTTGCTAATGTAGGCACATGATTGAATGTTTCTATTTGAGACTGGCCTCAAAATGTTCGAATAAATGAGACATGAAAATAGAAAATAAAAAATATAGGTAAATAAATAAATAATAAAATGAATAAACTAATTAATTAATTAATTAAAATAAATTGAAATTGTGGAAGAGTTCTAGCAGTCATAAACGAATGCTTCCAACCTAAACATTGACGATTAAATAAAAATTAAAAGTTTTGCAACGAATCGAAAATATAATTAAGAGTATATACGAAGTGAGGTCATAAACAATTGTTCCTGCTACCTTCTCATCAAAAACAGGTCCAAATCCAATAAGTTTGGCCACATATTGGTTGAATTCTTTCGTCAACAAAACATTTTTGACAGACAATCTTTTGTGCACAATCTAAAAATTATGGATTGAAAATTAAATCAAAACCTTCATAAAAGATGTTTTAGTACAACATTATAAAGCCTTGTTCTGCGTTATCATTAAATTACACATAGGAATTGAAATATCTTTACCGACCTGAGCAATACCATGGTAAATACCGGGTGCCTTATAATGCTCTGGTTCAATCGCAACAAATTATTAGCCTCATCTCAATTAATTGCATGATGCGCACTTTGCCACATAAATGGCAGTGATTGATTAAAAAAAAACATAAAAATAGTTCATCTAAAGAAAATTTCAGGACCTTGCATTTGTGGAGATGTTCCACCCCTTTGGAAATGTTTAAGGCAAAAGTTATTATTTCGTCTGAAACTTCTGGGGTCACGTGTTCCAGGTGTTCCAGCCATTTGGTCAGCGGCATTTCACAATACTCCATTACGATCATTGCTCCTATGTTTACAAACGTTGTTTCATCAAACAAGTATAAATAATGATTAAAGTTATTTAAAATTAATAATATTATAAATTAACACATATTCAAAGCTGTATATTCATGCTCATTTTATAATCAGTTTCGTTCATTGTGTAGTATTTTTTTATGACATATTCAATTTATATAACAATGATAACAAGTACTGCTTGATAAAATTTTCCAATTGAAGTTTAAACATAAATTTGAAAGCTGATAACTGTTAAACGTTAAAAAATAGTACGCAGATGATTAAATTAATTATGTAATTCATTTGATGAAACAACTTGTAAATTAACCGTAAGGTCCTTGAACGGTGGCGATAAATTTCACAATATTTTCGTGAGTTTTCAAATTACTGAAAAATTTCACCTTTGTATTCATGAAATCTTTCTCCTTCGAGTTTGCCCCGTCTTAAAAATGTTTTGAGAAAAAAGTTAAAAAAAAATGTTGCACGTATGTTGTGAAGAATTAAAAATGTTCCAAACTCTTCAAGGACTTGACAGCAACGGATCCGATCTTCAGCCGGTCATCGTTGATAGAAGCCCTGTTTATGACCATCAACTTTCCACGACTTATAACTTCTTTCATATTCAAACTTTCCTTTGAAAGGTTAATTAATGCGTTGTTCATGCCACGGTCAGTGTATATGTAGCCGTCTTTGGCATCGAAGTATTGGTCTGGTTGCTCGTAGCTCGGAGGAGTTACCTGAACGAGAATTCAAAATGAATTTCTGAAATAATTGTTTCTAAATTTTATCAAATTTTATTTTCAATCGACCTCAAGGCTAGTAGAGTAGAGTTCGTTTTGAGTAGAGACTGGATCAGCTGTTCTTGACTTGTTGGCCATAATTCTCATGCTAGCGACAGCTTGGTTCATTATTTTGGGCATTGGTTTTTTAAGCATGTATATTCTTACAAGAAATATGATGATTACGACAAGAATAGCAAACAGAATTAGCACACCTGGAAATTAAATATAGCACTATCGTGAATAGATGTAATGAGATTTCTTTTAATAAAAATTCTAACAAATGACTATGGCTGCGATCTGTCCGGGCTGCAGTTTAGAAACTGTGGCGTTAAAATAAATAAATTAAAATGCAAACATTTGAAAATTTAAATATTTTAATTTTCAAACCTGGTCTGCAAGAGAGTTCAGTAACACCATTTAGCTAAAAATTGTTTCAAAAAGTTTTTTATTAAATTCGCAAATCAAAATAATTTTCACAACAAAAATTTACTTTAGCAATTTTTTCGGAAGATGAAACGCCGGCGTTGTTTATGGCACTGATCCTCATTTCAAGTTGCTCGATTTTTATTCGGTCCAGCCAGCAGTGATCAATCTCCACTGTTTGAAAATAATTGTAGCACTTGCCAAGTGTTGAGCAGTAACAAGTCGAATCACTCTCCGTACATTCGCCTTCTAACACCTGAATACATTATTTTGCAATAAATAATAAAGTTTTTAAAAATTAAAAAATGTATAATTTAGATTGAGAAAAAGTGTCAAATTAATGTTTTCACCTCTCGCTTAATTTTTTTATTTTTGTTGGGGGGATCTCTCAATTTCGGCTCTACTGAGCCAGACTTGAATGGATTCTGATTAATGCCATCGTACAAACTGAAGTTGATTAGTTTCAATCCACTGTCCTGCTCTTTTATTAGAAAGGAAACGCTGCAAAATTATTACAAGAGTTGAAATAATGTATAAACTGTTATAGCAACAAAAGGTGAGGCAAGAACCTGGATGTGTAGATGTTGGGATAGTTCACGAGGAAGGTGTAGTTGTAAACTTCCGGTGGGCTCGTATCGACTCGAACGAACAAATGTTCAGTTACTTTGGCACCAACAACATCCATGCACGACAGCTGAATGGCGAGAGTGCCCCCGTCACGTATGTCTTCCGTGTAATTGAGTCTCAGGCGATTGACAGTTGAGTCGTAACTTCGACTGTCCGCGAAGTTGAGAGCTGCACCGGCGTTAAAATTATCAACGTAGTATGCCACCTCGTAATTTGTGATTCCGTTTTGTAAGCCATTGAATCGGCTGATGTTTCTCTGTCCGTAGCATTTTTTGAATGAACCTAAATCGTCGATCCCACTCTTCAGAGGTTTCACCGGTAAGTTCCACTCATCATTGAATTTGGAGTTGCTAATGAAATAATCTTTCCACAATAATGTGAAATATTTTGGTTTTAAAGCGTTTGCATTAGTAACCCACCATGTCTTTGAATTTTTATCATTATTTACGATCTCTTCAATTGTTATAGGTTTGGTTTCGTCAACTTTTAAATTTCCACTGTTAGTGAATATAAAGATATTTCTAGCTTTTGCGGAGTTATTAGCTTGATCGAAGACAGTCAACTCAATGGAGTAGACACCTGCATTGTTGAGATTAAAACTGAAAACGTTGTTGCCAGCTTGCAGATCGTTGGACCAAACAGGCGAGACAACATTTTCAAGTTCGTTCGATGCCCCACCGGGCTGCAACTTGTAGACATCGATGTGGTACCTCGACACGCCCGAGTCCGCATCCTCCCATCTTTGTACCTCAGCCTGGATCGTTGGATCCTATCGTCGAATTTCGTTATTTAAGAAGTTATTGTTCAAAATGGCTTAATTGGTTGATTTTTTACTAAAACCTTTATTAAATTTTTGCGTTAGTTCAATGTTTACAAAAAAATAAACTAATAAAATGAGCGAAGTTTGCATATTAATTATATTTTTTGTTCATATGACTGATTTTTTTTTACCAATTTTGTATTCAAAGTTTTGGTAAATGTTGATCATTGGCTCGATTGTTTTTCAATTTTGCATGTTTTGAATTTTATGTTTGTACTTGCTTGACTAAAGGTTAAGAAGTTGTTTTTGCTTTCATTGAAATGTGACTTACCGAGATAATATCTTCCTTCAAGTAGATGGGGAACGTCGGACAGTCAGCAGCGGCATTGTTGAGGCAGTGTGTCGGTGCGTTGTTGTCGAACTTCACTGAAGATGACCTCGAAGTTTGGCCTCCTGTGAAATATTGTTTCGAAAAAGTGCTTCCAAATGCATTTGATGCCTTGCTGCCGATTTTGTTTCCACCAACCCGTGCGTATGACGTTATGTTGAACCTGTTTGATGAAAGGTCTGCGTTATAAACAAAGTACGTACATCGATAGATGAAAATGAAAACAATAATTTTTAAATGCTGAAAATCACTTTTAAATGTTCTAAAATTATGTTAGATATCTCTTACCCATTTCCGTGTCTCGTTGACAAACCGAGGGTGCTGATTTTAACATCCAATAAACACAATCCAGATTTTTGCGGATTTTCATTATTAAATAGGGGACAAGTTTGCAGTATGGAATTTTCTTTATTTTATAATTTGATTTTATTTTTTTTAATTCATTTAAAAATAAAATTTTTGTATCCTACCTTTTATTTGAAAGCCAGCTTCAGCAATTCCGTATTGAATTGGTTGCTGAACATACGCAACGTTTGGAAATGGAAAGTTGGATTTGAACTCAACTTCCGAACTTAACTGCAGAAAATCCAAACCAGCGCTATTGATCCAGAGAGTCTCCGGCTGCACGTTGGAAGGTGCACAATAAGTTTTGCCAATAATTCTATCAGTTGACTTGAATGTTATTTCGCAACTTTTCACAATCGCTGATTCGCTAGCTGCAAGAAAGGAATTGACCAATTGGCATTTTTCACTTGAACATTTTGTAAAATATTTTTACGAAACTTCAGCGTCTATTTTCTAATAAAAGAGCATGATTCTGAGGTTAAAAACAATGAAAAGTCTGAAAACATCGTTAAAAGAATTAATTTTAAAAAAATCTCTAAACATAAAATATTTAAATGATAAACTTCTTGCGTTTACATCTAAACATTCAAAATTTGTACAAAAGTTTTGAAATGCCCGTAACGTACATTGCTGGCAGTCGGACCCAGAGAAAAGCGTGGGACACTTGCAGACTAAATCGATGCAGGTGCCAGGATAGCATGATATCGTCTCGCTACATGCAACTGAGCGTTATTTGAATATATCTTCAATTTAATTCAATTTAATTGCATTCAATTTAAATTATTTTTAAAAAAATTATACAACAAAATCTGTTTAATTTAAACCATCTGAAGTTTTATGAAATAAAATTTTGGTTTTGCTTAAGTGTCGAACGAAACTCCACAGCTTCGTTTAAACGAAATTCAATAACGTTGGAATAAATTAGAGTTGTAAGTCTTTTTTTCATACAACAGATTTTTATTTTTCAAATTACTATTTTGTTTTGCAAAAACGTAAATTGTATTTAATGTGATGGATTGTATGTAATGATTCATATGCCACTTATCTACAAGTTTTGCTAGCAGTCCAATCAATAATACAACAAAATCTGCTCAGATGAGATTGAAAGTTAATAAGGTAAGAAGAATCATTCAATAAAGTTTTAATAACAGTTAATAAATTTAACAATGAAATATTTTACAGTTGAATCTCCGAGCAACTAAAATTGATTTGAAAATTGTAAGAATGTACAACATTTGTTTAAATTTTAAATTTGAATCAAACGAATCGAAAAGATTGTTCATTGTTAGCCATTGTTTTTTCTAAATCGCGGACAGAATTTTTATTTTACTTTAAATTTAATTAACAGCTGTAAAAACCGCATAACACAATTAACATTATATTATTTTGACGAATAAATAAACTTCATCCCCAAAGTCACATCAACAAAAAATGACCCGAAAGAACCACAATGAGGAAATAATTTGAAACGAACCATTCGTGCATGTGCTTCCTGTCTTGAGGCAGTCGCAGACACCTGGGTTGATACAAGTCTGACCTTCTTTGCAGTTCAAGCAGACCGCTGGGGAGCAACATTTTTTGAAAAATCAACTCTACTTTGACACGTATATTTTTTTATAAACTTGGTTTGAAAAATGTTCTATCAGATTATTTTAAAAACTGAACTGACTGACGTGTGTTACAGTTCGGTAGGCCGGTCCATCCATCCTCACACGTTCGCACTTCATAATTCTCCGTGAAATAGTTCACAACGCAAGAAAGGTAACTTGAATTTTGATAAAAAATTGTAATGTGAAGCTGACCTCGTATATTTTTAATCTGAATTTATTTTAAACTAGCAGCCAGTGATTCCGATCTCTAGATGCAGTATCATAAAATAGCAGTCGAATTATACGCGGAGGTAAATATGTTTAATTGTATGCGACCCTTCAACTGTATGGCGTTATGTCAAAGTCATTATATTTTTTGCGTTTATCTGTCGTTGTTTTTAAATGCCTTTGTGACAAAATGTTTACAGAGAATGAACAAATATCATTGTTTTGGCAAAAATTTAATTAGATACTGACATGTAAAATTGCTTTTTTTAAATACGGCGAGAGAAGTCAAAATGGGTCAAAATTCGACTCCTGGTAGAAGTCGATGCCGGCAACGACAGTGTATGAAAATATGTTGAATTATTTGTTTTGCAGAAAAAAACTTACAGAACAAATAAATTGCTAGGTGAATTACTAAAATGTAGGTGAATTACTAAGATGTAGATGAGTTAATAAGATGCAGGTAAATTACTAAGATAAAAGTGAATTACTAAAATGTAGATGAATTACTAAGATGTAGATGAGTTAATAAGATGCAGGTAAATTACTAAGATAAAAGTGAATTACTAAAATGTAGGTGAATTACTAAGTAAATGGCTGAATTACTAGGAGTTGGATGACTTACTAAGAAGTGGAACAGGATTTGAAAATCCACCAGCCGCTACAACTTCTCGACGACGATGTCGAACAATCTCTCCTCGAGACTAATCTACTGTCCGTGGTGATTCTGACGTGATCACTTTGTGTGCGTGTGCGTGTGAGAGTGTGTGCATGTGTGTGTGTGTGTGTGTGTGTGTGTGTGTGTGTGTGTGTGTGTGTGTGAGAAAGAGATAGATTGCGTGTGTATGACTGAATAGTTGTATGTGATTGAATGACTGAATGAACGTTCTGACAAACTGACAATTATCAGAGAAATTTTCAAAAATGTAAAAGAGCCAATCATAAATTAGAAGCAATTTTATTAATGAATCGTATAAATCACACACGAGTATGATAATAAGAACGATCGTTTTTCAAAGAGCATACCGCATCCGAATCAAGTTACAAAATTGTCGGTTACAAAATAAAAATGTCAAATTTTAATTCCAAGATGGACATATAAAAATCGACTTACCTTTTAACCGTAGGGACCACAAGAGTACCGACCAACAAGACATTCAACAACGCGACAAGTTTCATCGATATGATGTACTATCATAAAGAAGGACGTGAAATAATTATTGAACTGTTGAAATTAAAAATTTTATTTCGCAAAATTTCTACAAAATAAATTTTATAGAAAATGTCATTTAAAAACTTTAACCAGGTCGCTTTTAAAGACAAGAACTCATTCAAGCGTTAAGAACCCACACACGCACACACGTGTATATATATATATATATATACGTGTGTGCGCACATACACGCACATACACACACACACACACACGCCATACAAGTATATTATTTTCATAATTTTCGTTTCATCATCGTCAACGTCACCATTGCATTATTTATATTTGTGTGGCATTGTTTTGTTTAATTACCATCAATAGCAAGTAGTTAACGATGTCGATGCACAGTGTATCACCATATTAACATTAATTAACATTAATTAACATCTTCACTTATTTAAATCAAAATCAAATCAAATCAAATTTTATTCAATCAATCCAAATTAATAATAATTAAGTGATGATTAGGAGACCAAAGCTAAAAGAAAACAAAATTCTTGTGTCGCAGGCCACCGTTCACAAATTGTTCATTCTAACACAATTTTTAAGTAAATTTATAATTCATCACAAAATTAACATAATTCACAATTTACATGATTCTAATTAAATAAAAATTTTACTTTTTTTCAATAAATATTTTTTTATTTTGTTTTTAAACAAATGCAAGGAATTTGTAGTCTTTATATCAACAGGAAGTTTCTCCCAGATTCCGGGACCGGTATGTTTTAAACTTCCACCAAGCAGTGTTATTCTTGCAGGTGGTGTATAGAGCAGAGGAGAATGTCGAGTGAACTTTGACTGCACAGCTTTTCCGAATTCGAAGAAGTCATTAAAAGATGTTGGTAATTGATAATGTAGGAACTTGAACATAATTAATTATAATTTAATTATAATAATTAATTCCCTTTTCAATATTTTCCTGAGGCCCCAACGACAAATATACAGTGCAACTCATCACGCACGAACGCACTGCATGTGTGCAGGCGGGGATCTCTTTGCGATCGAATCTGGTCTCTTCAATAGCAGCGCCAGGTACCATACCGCTACACCATCGCGTCGTCAGATATTAATGTGTTAATATTACAAAGTACAAAATGATAAACTGATATATAAAGTGCAATGCCTTTGTTCTTAACGTTAATAACATCACATTAATTCAACAATATTTATGAATATTTTGTGATTATTGTACAATAATGATAATAGCAAACATACAACAAAAACAACGACAACAATTAAACAACAATATCAGATACATTCTAATAAAATCATATTAATAAAAGAGGGAAAATGATAATATTTTGTCAAAGTTGTTAATTTGGTTCAGCAAACATTGCACAGCTTGACTCGAATCACAAACAACAATGTATGAGCCGCATTGGTAATTTTATAAAAATTTCCCTTGACGTTAAATTTTATAACAAATTTCATTTCTAATTTTAAACATTCTACAAAGCTTAGGCATTTCAACTAATTAACAAAGTCATAGCTGTTATGTACGAGACGCATTAAGACCTAAACATGATTTCTGTGAAAATTTTAATGATTAATATGTTGTATTAATAAGGTTTTCACAAAAACAAAATGCTGGCAATATATATATATTTCACAAAACCTTATTAATACAGCATTGTATACAGCATTGAAAACCTTATTAATACAGCATATTATTATTAATATATTGCATATTAATAATAATATGCTGTATTAATAAGGTTTTCACAAAAACCAAATGCTGGCAATATATATATATATATATATATATATATATATATATATATATATATATATATATATATATATATATATCACTTGTTTATTTGCTCGGTAATTTTTAGTAAAAGTGTTTTTTGGGTTTTTTTTTGTCTTGCCACTCTGTAAATATACCGTAATTAATCTTTTGTTAGCTTCGACGTGCATACATACAGATGGTAAATAATTCAGATAGCATAATTTAAATTGAACACATATGCATACCTAATCACAAATACCTACACGAACATATTTAGAGGCATACATGTTACGTACTAGAGGTGAGCATGGGAGCGGGAATCCCATGCCTTCCATGGGATTCTTTATATTACTATAATTTTATACAATACTATAACTCTATACAATTTTATATAACCCTTTAAAACTCTATATAACTCTTCGTAGCTCTATAAAACTTTATACAACTCAACTCTATATCTGTGTTGAAAATTTTTGAAAATAGAAAAAATGTGGAACATGGGAGGGGAGGGAAACAGCAAGAATGAGTTAATAAATAAAATAGGAAATGGAAATTTTTGGGAACGTTGTCATAAATGGGATTTTGGGAAAGAATCGGAAATGAGAAAAAAATGGGAGCGAATTTGGAACAAACTTCAATTCCCGATCACCTCTACTACGTAATAATGGTACACACACACACAAACACACATAATCACACACACAACCACACGCACACACACACACACAAATAAACATAGACAAACACAAACACATAGAGAAACAGTCAGGCATCAAAATAACGCACATACATGCACGACTGAGTGAGCGAGGTGAAATCACCTAGATAGAGAATAATGAACTAGAGTAATTCAAAGTTTATTTAACATCTAAATTTATTTATAGCAATGACCAAATCAGTCTGTCCAGAGCACACAAGACAAGCAAATATTTGAAAATAATTGAATCGGTTAGAAAGGAATATTTTAAAGTGGGTTACATTTCTTTTTAGGAAAATCCTTTTCTAAAAATAACTTCGTTCAATTTTATGCATCAAACAACTAAGGAAATTTTATATCCGCTCGTATGCAACAACGTGTTAATAAGACGATGTGTCTTTTGTTGAGAAGGGTTCTATGCCATTAAATATTTGATAATAAGTTTGACAAACACATACAACAAAGAACAATCTAACACAATGTAAATACATGCGCGTGCACACACATACATACACACACACACACAGACACACACAGCACACGCATAACTCACATGCAGACTCCCACAACACACAGACCCAAAACACACAAACCCAAAACACAAACGCACAAAGACAGAATTTTTCACATCTTACAAAACCCCTAGCATATATCTGATTTGAATGATCTGATGAAATTTGGATATGAACTTAAACCGAATAAATACATTATTTAATGATTTAAAAATTTGTTTATGTCATTAAAAACGTTCTGTGTTTTAAAGCGGCAAGGTACAGCGTAATTTTAGCTAGGTACGTAAACACGTTAGGCGCGTAATTTTTTGTTAGCAGCAATCGCATCACGACTGAAACAATAAAATAGCAATAAAAACAACAACTAATAGGTAATCAATAATAATAATAATAATAAATAAAAATAAAAATAATAAAATTTTATACAGCGTCTTCCTGATTGCTGCTAGGTTAATTCTTTTTTATTTTTCTTCTTTATATTATTAGCTTGGGTTGGTTCAGTACAAATTTTCAACAATAAATGCAAACGTTTGACGATATATTCAATGTCCCAGTACATATGATTAGATATATATATATATATATATATATATATATATATATATATATATATATATATATATATGTATGTATGTATGCTTCAACAAATTGTTAATATTAACATAAAATTAACATAACATTAACGCCATACTAACATTAAAATAACGTAACATTAATATCATTGTATTCAAAATAAGAAAATAAATTATAAAAAGCCAGGGAAATTAACAATAGACGAAAAGAAACCCGACATATATCTGATTGGAATGATCTGGTGAAATTTGGATATGAATTTAAACCAAATAAATACATCGTTAAATGTTTTAAAAATTTAATTATGCCATTAAATCAAAGTTATCATTGATTTTCGTGTGAAAATTTATCGTCATGAGTTCTTCTCGCCCAGGCTTCTAATCCGCCATTTTGTGAAAATCTTGAAAACTAATTATTATCACCAATCGGATGCTACATATGTATGTATCGTTGTGTGTGTGTGTGTGTGAGAGAGTGAGTGAGTGAGTGAGTGAGTGAGCGAGCGAGCGAGCGGGTGAGTGAGTGCAAACATAGCTACACAAACATATGTGATATACAAACACATAAACACAGATAGTACGCAAAAATATCCACACACAGACACACATATACAAACACATACACATATATACAAACACACACACACGCACGTGTGCATGCATAGAAATACACAAAATAAAATTTCCTCTTTTTCCCCAAGATACCTTTCTTTTGAAGAAATTTTAAAATCCATAGCTTGCCATTCTATATTTTATATTTCGAGTGATCACGATATGACAAAACATTTGAAGCATTGTAGATTAGTTTGTACAACATTCATCTATTCTAGTTTTGTTGATAATAGTGTTGTAGTTTTTTTTTTTTTTTTTTGAATATTACGTTGATTTTATATCTATCATTTTATACACCATGCCGTGTTCATACGCTGTCACACACAAATACAAACACACACACACATACGCACACACATAAACACCCAGAAAGAGAGAGAGAAAAAAAGAGAGAGAGACACACACACACACAGACGCACGCACAGACGCACGCACACACACAAACACAATGTTTGAGTAATTAGTGACTTAAGTAAATTAAGAATAAAAATGTTGAAAAATTCGAATTACAATAAATGATATTGATAATAAGAATAATAATAATATAATAATAATAATAATAATAATAACAATGATAATAATAATAATAATAATAATAATAGGATGAATAACATCAAGCATAATAAGATCAAAAACATTAAAAATTAAGGTAAATTTTTTAAGATTAAATACATAAATAACGCAGGCAGCAATGAAGTTGTTACAAAAACACAGTAGTTACTAAATTAATTTACCTATTTATTCACTGTGCCCAATAAATAAATTTAAAACCGGCCTCTCTATATATCGAATTTTTAATGTAATTTTCATTACAAGCAACATCACATTAATCATGTACGTTATCGAAATATGACATGCGTGAAATATCACATTAAAAATTTTGTGACAGTAATCATAGAACTAAATGTCCTTTGTGTAATGAATAACATCAAGGTTGTCAACTTTTATTAAATCTTTCTCTCTCTCCCTCTCTCTCTCTCTCTCTCTCTCTCTCTCTCTCTCTCTCTCTCTCTCTCTCTCTCTCTCTCTCTCTCTCTCTCTCTCTCTCTCTCTCTCTCTCTCTCTCTCTCTCTCTCTCTCTCTAGCTTGTTAATTCAACTATGAGATAAGTCAAATTCAGATAAAAAAATGTTGAGTTAACGATCTTAAAAATGGAGTTACAACAAAAAATGGATTGTTATAAAAATGCAATTTGTCCTGTTGTAATGTGTTTTTAATGAAATAAATAGAGTGATATTGACTTTCATCTACGTAGAATAAAAAAACTTTTGCCTACTCTTCTCCTTCTTGTTACTTCGTTAGTCTTATCTAGGATTGATTATTGTAACTCGCTCTACTATGGTCTTCCTGACTCTATACTCTATCCTTTAAGTAAAGCTTTTAACTCTGCTGCTCGTCTAGTTGCTCGTGCCCCTTTCTTTTCTCATATATCTCCATATCTTGTTCTCTTGCACTGGCTACTTATAAAATATAGAATAATTTTTAAAATTTGCACGTTCATGTATAAGTCTCAATCTAAATTATTTCCTAAGTACTTATCAGATATATTAATTGAACCTAAACGCCCCGGTTTACGATCGTCTTCTTCTTCTCGCTTTTTCTTAACTCGTGTTAAACACTCTTTTGCCAAATCTGCTTTTGCTTTTTCTGGTCCTTTTCTCTGGACTCTCTACCTACTTCTCTAACTATTTCTCCATCACTTGCGAAGTTCAGAGCGGATCTCAAGACCCATCTGTTTTCAAAATTAATTGAGGAGCGCTGTTGAACATCGCGGAAATAGCGCTTTATAAGCTAATTGATTGATTGATTGATTGATTGATCGAGAGATGAAATTATTGTTCTTTGTTGCTTCATTAAACTTTTGTGCAAAAATAATCTCATCATTAACCATCATTCGTCACTATCATCACATTCATCATTTTCTTTATTTCGCATTATCATTCAAACCATTATTACTAAGAAATCTCCTTCTTCATCATCATTGTCGTTGTCATTACCATCGTCATCACCACCAACAACATCATCGTCATCATCATAGTCATCAACATCATCATCATCATCATATCCTTATTCACGTCAAGTAAGCGTCTAATTAAAATGCAACAGTTTGCTGGATATATTGTAGAATAGAAACAATGGTCCTTTCGCGTTTATTTAAAATCACAAAGACCATGAAAAAGAGACGATGCTGATTTTCAAACTCATAAAACAAACACTAGTACGGATACAGCGTAGATGCACTGATCACTCTGATATATCGTAGAAACAATGATCATTGGAGCAATCCTGGCCTCCCAAATTAGTGGAAGAAATTTGACAATGGACATAAGGAGACCTGCCGTAGTCGTTGAGACAGGGATCACCGAAGTTTACTTTCGCCTTGCGACTCTCTAACAATGAGGACCTCATCGCGGTGCAGTTTCGCGCGTTTAAGAAAGTGGGCGCCATTAAAGTTTCTGTAAGGAGTTAATTAAAAGATATTATTGATCTGAGAAAATTTTAATCAAATTTCAAAAATAATTAATTTAAAAACTACTTTTTGAATTATAGATTATATTCCTTTTGCAAACGGGCGTAACTTTGTTCAGAAAGTTGGTTGGCACCTTGCTTCGATCGTTACCGTCGTTAATAAACATAGTTGAGTTTCCTACACGTTGTTCCTTCTCTAGCCTTCTGTTGTTCATGTTGGTGGGTATGTATTTGTTGAAACAGTTTTTGTTTGCGCGTCTGCTCATGGCATGGCAAGGATGGCAAACTGGTGATGTTGGCTTCAAACAGTTGTAATTTCGTCCTTGCCCATAATTCTGACTGCGTGTGCCTAGAAAGTTATTCACATTCACCTGATTTTCTTCATTCAATGATACTGACGAAGAGGAGAATGACTGAAGCTCGGAAGAAGATGATGACGAACAGATGACGTGAAAGGGCTGACGGAACAATGGACTGGATTTGTGGCGGCGGTAGCAAGGTAGATGATGGTGTTGGGTACTTTGATCGAATGGAGTGCTGCTGTCCATAGCGTAAGTAGCCATGTTCACATTAGGACCGCTTGATATTTTCATTCTGTCTTCTTTTTTATGTCTGCAAGAATTGTTTGTGCTGTGACGCATATCCCAGTTGGAACCACGAACATCGGAGTTTGGGGAAGAGTTAGGCATGTAAATGCCTCCTCTCCAGCACTCATCATCGGTATTCTTATGTAAATACATATAGTTAAACTTTTTAGGATTTTTAATTTTGGTCACCCCAAATATGTTTTGTGGAGATTGTTCAACATTTTTTTTATTTGTTTCTTGTTTAGAATTGGAACAAGTCTTGTTACTGAATGCGGTTGAATGCCGACATCCACTGTTAAACTTCAAGCCGTTGTTATATTCGAGAACGTTGGAAAACTTATCTGAGTAACATGAAACTGGGGAATAACGTTTTGAAGAAAATTTCTTTGTTGACATCGTGTGCGGAAAATAATCATTGGTCATACACTTTTCAGGAGAATATCGAGAAGATGAAAATTGCTGCTTAGGTTTATATTTTTTTGGTGAACAATTTTTTGACAAAAATGTTTTAGGTGAGAACTTTTTACGTGAAAACCTTTTTGACAAAACATTTTCCTCCCGCTCAAGAGATGGAGGATGGAAGCCGTTCAAACTTGAATTCTTATCTGACGATTTAAAAACATCAACTGACGTTTCTAGATTAGAATAAAATATCTTTGGTGACAAACTCTTCAAACCCGGAGAAACATTTGTTCGACTTTTTTGTTTTTTGTGTAACTTTCTGTACTGTTCCTTTATTTTTGGCAGCACGTTCTGCAGCTGCTCGTTGTCTCTCAGTACCTTCACATAATTGATGTCCGATGCAGCCAGGATATCGTGCTGTCGTGACAGGTTGAGAGGTTTGCTGAAATCTTTCAAACAATCTTTAAAAATTTTTGAAAAACTGTTTTTAATCGATATTAGTTCAAAATGAAATAGATCATGTGTTCATTTACGTTTATAAATTACATTATTTTATAGTTTCATTTTTATGCAACAGATAAAAAATATTTTCTACCATATACGTATATACTAATAAAACACAGAGCAAAACTACATCAACAATGATACAAAATAAAAAGAACCTAAACATTTAAAACAAAGCAAAACTTTTTTGATCGGTGTTATCGAAGCAGCCACTGTCTTCATCAGAATCCTTCAACTCATCGACGAAGCAAATATTCATGCGGCCGTTCTTGTTCTTGTTCTGATGCGGATAGCAAACCGCGGGCGAGTGGCCATCGTCGTCGCTAAAAACCGGAGAGGATTTTAGTTTGTGAGCTTCGCGACAGTGTTTCTTCACTGGAAGGACACGCGGCGTGGCTAAACTCGTGTCGGAAAACCTTCTGAAGTGCAAATTTGGTTTGGGACTGAGAATATTTTTCTTGGCAGCGACTCGGCGGTGTAGTTCGTCTGAACTGACGCTACTGCAACGACGTCGAGATGAATAGTTGTGGCGAGTGCCTGGCTGCTTCCAATGAATGCTATCGAGCAATAGCAAGTTCGATTTACTAGCGTTGTCGTCGTCGTCGTCATCATCATCATTATTTGAACTTTCGCTGGCTCCGTGCAATTTGGACCAGTTAGGAACGTGGTGGTTCTGTTTGGAGTTGTTGTTAGCAGATTTCATTTTGAAGTACTGCCCTTGCTGACGTTTGCAATTTTTATTCCTTCGCAGGTTTTCTGTTCTACAAACGTCTGTCTGCTTATACTGTGGAAAGTTCTGTTGCTGATTTTGTTGCTGGTGTGGCTGAAGATGTTGGTGTTGCAAGTATTGTTGATGTAGTTGATGTTGTTCGTGTTGTTGGTGCGGCTGGTGTGAAGGGAGCTGTTTGTATTGACTACTTCGTTGTTTAACTTCACGTTGTTCACCATGCTGTTTACGTTTATGTTCTAACTGTTGTTCAAGTTGTTGACTGTTCGATTTAATCTGTTTTTGATGAGGCTGGTTTTGTTGATGTTGTTGTTCAAAATGTGTATGTGGTTGTTGTGGTTGTTGGTTTTGTGGTTGACATCGTTTTTGTTGCGGTTGATGTGTTTGTTCATTTTGCTTTTTTTCTTGTAGTGGATTATATCTTTTCAGCTGATGTGATTGATTATTGTGTTTATCTTCATGTTTTTGACGACGTTGTTGTTCAAACTGTTCATACTGCTGATGAGTTTCCTTGTAATGCTGGTTTCGAGAACGCTGTTGTCGTTGTTTACCTTG